AATGTTACACGGATATGTCATATCCAGCACGGCGCATCCCTTTGATTTCGCATAGCACACCCTGTATGTTTTTGCTTAATCACACAGTGAAATCAATCCTTATACTACAAAAAGGTATTCAGCTTTAGCAACAGTACTGCAGATAATCGCCACTTTGTATGGGCTGTCATGGCAAAATACAGGGTGGGCCATTGAAAAGCGGACAGACGCTGAAGGATGTTTATTCTAACATCGACGGATTGACGAGTTGACGACAATTTACGCCCCTCCTAGTGTTGAAAAATATGTGCCAATGAACATCAATCGGTTGTTCCTAATAAAAATTCCTCATTTTCATATTTAAGGCTTCGCTTAAGGATTCTTAGCAGAACCTTCGAAGCAAACAGCTTTTGGAACATATTGAGCTTCTAAAATGTACTATCTTTGTACCGGGAGTATCAACCTTAAGTGCTTGCAAAAAATCAGTCTAGACTCGAATTCCACTCAATTTTTTTATAATCTTGCGTGATTGGTACTGTTGTATCTGCGGCAGCATCAACTTTGAGTGCTTCTAAAAAGTCAGTGTAATTCGGAAGCTGATCGGAATGTTTTTCTAAGTGAAGCTTTATCCATTCTATATACTGGGAAAAAATTTCAGGTTGTAACTCCTATCAAGTTTGGAGTTCAAGAATTTTTTGTTCGGGAAACTGCGCGAATTGCTTCGGTTGTTTCAGCACCATCGCCTTGAGTGCTTCTGAAAATTCAGCCTAAACTGGCATTTGACTCAAATTCGAGCTGAGGACAGTTTTGTTCATTATTTCTATTGAGAAAAAGTTTCAACTGGCTGCTCTTCTCGAGTTTGGAGTTGCAATTTTTTATTTGCGGACTTGCGTGATTTGTTACCTTTAATTCAACTTTGAGTTATTCAGAAAAGTGTGCCTAACATTAAATTTGACTCAGATTTTTCTCAGATTTCGTCTGAGTAATGCTTCATTCATAGCGTATTCTGAAAACAAGTTTCAAATCGTAAATCTGTTCAACTTTGAAGGGACGATTTTTTGTTCGCAAAATTGTGTGATTTTCAACCAAATAAAAGCTGCAGCGCCGCGCATCTTTCAGTGCTTCTGGAAAATCAGCCAATGCAGAAAATTGTCTGGAATGTCATGTGTCTGAAGCTTCATACATTGTTAAACTGAGAAAAAGTTTCGAATCCCAACTCTTTTCAATTTTGAAGTTGCAATTTTCTTGTTGCGAACTTGCGCGCGCTTGTTAACTGTCGTATCAGCAGCATCGTGTTTGACTGCTGCTGAAAATTCAGTAGAAGCTCGCAATCGGCTCAAATTTGAGCTCATTGAAGCTTCATTCTTTGTTTACAGTTAGAAACAGTTTCCAGTCGCAACTTCTTGCAAGCTTGGAGTTGCAAATTTTTCTTTGTATCGGTAAAGTGGTTTACCACCGCTGTATCAGCAGCTTCAGAAAAATCAATCTACACTCCAGAAATTTAAAGTGGGTGAAGCTGATTCAATTGTTGAAGACGCACGACATTTTTTCAGGCGAAACGTTTCCAGTGTGGGGTCAAAAATTCGAAACAAACTGAAAAATGTCAATCAATAATCGCTAAAATCCCACTCTTTTGAGAGTATTTGCCTGGCTTTCCTCATCAGCACATACTAATATCGACCTAATTCCAGGTAAAGGCTTCACATGCCATCAATGCAATAGATGTTACAATCGCCTAAACAACTTGCAGCGCCACTTGAACGTCGAGTGCGGCAAAAAGCCGAAGTTTAACTGCCCCGTTTGCTGCAGAAAATTCAAGTACAAGCACGTGCTGAGCACCCATTTGCGAGTCCATGAAAAACTGTGGAACCCTCCCACCCCATCCTAAATCCCTCAAACTTCTGGTTAGAACCTGCTGGATTAACTGGAAACAGTTGTAGGGTTCGAATGCGACACGTGCGGCCGAAAGTACCGCTACCGAAGCACTTTGAGGACGCACCAAAGGCTTGAGTGCGGCAAAGAGCCGCAGAATGAGTGCTCCATGTGTATGTACCGTTGCTACCAGCCGGGTAACCTCAAGCGCCATTTGGTGCTCAAGCACGGAAAAACCTTTCAACGATTAAACGCTTTAGACCATTGTTCTTAAGTTTCCTTTTCCAGCTTGCCTTTGCTTTGTACATAAAATGCTGACTAGGTTTTAGAGAGTGCAATAAAGGAGCGTTCCCGGAAATGCTCATGAAGTGATTTTTTTAGGGCCAAAGCCCGTAGTGTCCGCCTGCCACTCCTCCGTGGCGCATTTTGTCGATCTGAGCCACTCGGATGATGACATGTACCCAAATCTGCACGATATGCTGGACCTAACAGTGGTGGAAGGTGGCCAGGTGATGGACATGTACGAGGACTTGGAGGGGCCTTTTACCATTTTCTGCAACATCTGCAACACCGGGTTCAAACACATTTCCTCGCTGAGGTACCACGAGAAGCATCGCGTGTGTCTCAAACCGAAAAAAGGTAAAATTATGAGGAAACCCATGACCCCCCATCTAGTGAGGATTGTTGCAGACTCGAGCGACCCCCGTTGCCCCAAGTGCGACAAGGTCTTCGCCACCGTCACCGGGTTCCAGTACCACATGAAGCGCAACGTGTGTGAAAATATCAAAGGTACGCCTCTAGTTAAACCCTCTCCCCCATTGCTGAGGGCAATTGTTAAAGTGCACCTTTGCAGAGGAACCAAAGGTTCCGCAGTGCCCTCAGTGTCAAAAGGTGTTCGCTACCATAACAGGCCTGAGCTACCATATGAAAAGACGGGTGTGCGAACAAGTAGACGAACCAAAATGTTCGTATCCTGCCCCAGCCTGCATGTGGTTTTCGCTAATTTTTCATTGTTTCAGTTGAGGAGGTGCACAGTTGCGAGAAATGCCAGACCACCTTCAAGCATCGCGCCTCCCTCTTGTACCACGTCACTCACAATGTGTGCTTGAAGCCCAAGAAAGGTACCTTCATTTGATTAAAAACGGGTCGGGTTTATTGGTCGGTGTTTTGCTTTGCAGAGGAAGTCGATCCGAAGGCCCTCCAATGCCATCTATGCGACAAGGTGTTCTCCGCCCCCATTTCGCTGACTTATCATCTGAAGAACAACGTTTGCACTAGGGAGGCCAAGGAACCAAAAGGTACTGTCCTGAGAGTGTCACCGGGGGGTCGGAAAACCTCAATTTACAGAGGAAAATGCTGCCTAGTCTTCCGTGGAGGAGACACTTGCTGTATGAACAAGTGAAGAAGATCTGAAAACTTTCGATTGAAGAGGGGCGAGGGTTTTTTATGGTATCAGAATGGGGCAAGGGAGTCTTAAAATGGTTTGGAAGATCACCTTTGGAACTTTTGGCCTTTCAATGCGCTTCTTTATCTTTCCAAGCTAAGGGCAGCTTGGAAGGTTTTCATGCGTCTTCCATCCGTATCTGCTGCATCGAAAAGAGTAAAAAGTCTTGGAAAGTCGCAGAAAGGTTCGAACCGTCACCAATTTCAGGGAGTTTTAAAACAATTTCGAAGCAAAGCGTTTCTTTACTTTTGCAAGTGCATCTTAGAGGACTTTTATGCCGTTTTTTCTTTTCTTATCCGTGCTACAGTCTCACAAAGTTTCGAACCGTCACCATTTTCACGAAGTTTTCAAAGGGTTTTAAAGTTCGACTTTGGGCAGCTGATGGATGGCCTATGGGTGCGCTGCTCCTCTTTTGCAATTAAACGTTGAATTTAGCGCGATTTTTTGGCTAAAATTTGCAAAAATACAAATGGAGCGTGAATTTAAGGGAAACAAATGTCTTCAGTAAGTTTTGTGGCACTGGGCTGTGGGGAAAGCACTTGCTTGAAATTAAGGTGCGGAAACTTTCAATATTTCTTCAAGAAATGGAAACAACCAAAAAATCCCTCTGTTTATGTTGGGGAGACAAGAGAGTCTGCTCAGTCAGACAGTTTCAAACCGCGATTATCTTCAGGGGCTTCAAGTTTAAACATGTTTCTCCAAGTGCTTCTTTGGAGCTTCTAGGGATCATTTGCTCACTCAGTAATTGCGCTCAATTAATTACAGAAGTGGTGGAGGAGGAAAAGGAGTGCCACTTATGCAAGACAGTGTTCAAGCATCCCAACTCTTTGCGCTACCATTTGGAGCACAACGTTTGCTTGAAGCCGAAAGTGGGTAAGTCAATCTCCTCCAAAATCAGCAAGTTTGCGGGGGGGAAACCCCAATATACAATCTGTGTGTTATTTGCAGAGAAAACCGAGCCAAAAGTGCTACAGTGCGAGAAGTGCAGCAAAGTGTTTAGTGGGCTGCCCGGCCTGGAATACCACATGAAGAGGAAGGTATGCGAACATTCACGCCCACCAGTTCCAGGTACGGTCGCATTCGATTTGTTCCAAGGGACATTTGATCAGTAGCTTGCACTTTAAGGGCCACCCTTTGTTTGCGACATTTGCAACATGTCGTTCGATCTGAAGCAAACATGGTACGCCCATGTTAAGCGGCAAGTGTGCAAGAAGTTCCCGGAAAAGTACATGAAACAGCCGGAGCTGGAAACGATTAATGTGAAAATCGAGTTGGACTCAAATTAGGCAGTTTGTGGTGTGCCATCGGGACTTTGAGTGTTTGCTTTTATTGCGCGATTGTAGATAGGGGAATATTTTCATTAACTAACTCTTGGCACTGGGGAAGGTTGTGGCTTGACTGGATGTTGAGCCGACAGTTTGCTCGGTTTGTTTGGTATTATCGCGAGGGGTTCTAGCCCCCAAATCATTAGTTTATGTAGTGGTAGGAAGTAGGCGTAAGATTTACGTTATTTTAGCATTTACTTAACGGTTGTTGCGGTGACTTTTTTGGAGGCTTTGAGGGAATTTTTCCTTCAATTCAGACTGTCAACTGTTTGTGAGTAGTACAGTTTTTAATTTAAATTCCCAATAATTTATAGGCAACCTTTTACCACAAGGAAAAAAAGTCACCCAGCACACTAAATATAATTAGTTTTAATGTCGTATTAATTTAAAAAAATATATATTATTGTAACGCCTAATATAATAAAGTCAATAAACGGTTTCAAGGGTTTTTTCGCACTCTTTGCGGAAAATCAACCTGAAGATTCTCGGGAAATCGCGTTCACTTCACTGATGGTCGCATTTTTCGTTTTAGCTCCACACAAATGCGATAAATGCAGTCAACGGTACAAATATCACACCTCGTTGGCCAATCATCAACGGTACGAGTGTGGAATGAGGCCGAAATTCCTCTGTCAATTCGTCGGATGCCTGTATGCCAGCAAGCTAAAAGGAAACCTGAAAAAACATGTTTTGAGGTGCCATTTTAAGAGCAAGTGACATGCCAATAGAAGCAGGTTTTTTTGGTCATTACTTGAAACTGGTGAGTTTTGAGGGATTTTAGGGCGTGGTGAACAAGGATTTGTTGCTGACGTTTTGCAAGCACGAGCTTCTTGTATCCTCAGGGATGGGGGGAGGGGGGTAGACTTTACTTAAAGATCTTAAGTGATTTGCGACAGTTGTTTCAGTTACTTCGACTTTGAGTGCTTCTCAAAAATTAGCCAATTCCGGAATTTGCCTAAAATTTCGCATCAATGAAGCCGCATCCATTGTTTATACTGGAGACAAATTTCAACTCGCAACTCCGTTTGAGTTTGGAGTTGTATTGTTTTGTACGAGAACTTGCGTAAGTGGAAACCGTCGTTTCAGCAGCATTGGCGTTGGGTGCTTGTGAAAAATCAGTCAACTCGCAAACTTGACTGAAATTTTGTGCAAGCGACGTTTCGTCCATGGTTTATGCTGGGTGAAACTTTCAACTGGCAACTCCTTTTGATCTTGAAGTTGCAAATTTTTCTTTGAGCAGTCGCGTGTTTTACAACCATCGTATCAGCTAAAAAATCAGTCAACTCACAAATTTTATTAAAATGTTGGCCAAGTGAAGCTCCTTCCATTGCTTATACCCGATACAAATTGCTCACAACTCTTCTGGATCTTGGAATTGCAAACTTTTCTTTGTGCACTTGCGCGATTTTCAACCGTCATATCAGCAATCTTCGACTTTGAGGGCATCGGAAAAATCAACATCCGATCAAGTTTGACTCACATTTCGCCCAATGAAAGCCCCATTATTTTTTTATACTGGAAAAATGTTTGAGCTTGCAACTTTTTTTGGCTTTCGAGTGGCACATTTTTTAACTTGCGCGTTTTTTCACCGTCGCATCAACCGCATCGAGTTTGAGAGCTTCTGAAAAATGAACCTAAGCTGGAATTTGAATAAAATTTCATCTTCCAAGTTCTTGCATAATTTGAGTTGCTGCGCGAGCAAACCGCCTCTGAAGATGCAGGTCGCTCGTGCCAGCAAAACGCCCAGAAGAAATATTTCTTTCAAACTCCCAGTTTCAAGCGACTTTGTGGTGTCAATAAACGTCTCGGAATCTCTTTGCATTTATTTTCCCCTGACGTTTTGATACACATTTTAAAAAAGGTAGAAGCTGCGGTATTTTTGGGGGGTTGAAGATATACGCAGTATTTCGAAGAACAGAAGAAACAAGGTGAGTAGATGAATATGTGCCAACTTACAGGTTTTCGAAGGAAAATTATGGGAAACCTATTCGATATTGACCGATTCAGGCCATCAAAAAACTTTGATACTCATTATCATCTTCCAGGAAGTTCTTTCACAATTTTCCTGCGACTTTAAACTAATTTTCGCCCGTTTTTAGGCCGCACAAATGAACACAAATGCCTGGATTGTGGTCGCATGTACAAGCATGCCCGAAACCTGGACCGGCACAAGAAGTTCGAATGCCAGCGCGAGAAAAAGTTCCATTGTCCATATTGTTCCTATACCGGGTACCAGAAAGTGCACGTGAGCGCTCATATAGTACGCAGACACTACGATGTACAGGGCTTTTTGAACTTCGTCTGAACTGAACCAGTGACAAAAAGAGAATAAAGTGTTTCTCGAATGTGTTTGTTTGTTCGCCTCATGTCTTTACTAACCACACTTCTAGTTCCACTAAACAGATCCAAGGTGTTTGATGGAACTTTGGTCTAAATAGTCCATTTTATTTTAGGCATGGCCTTAAGCTGCTCGCTTTGTGGGGCTGTTTTCAAGCACGCCCTCTCCCTTAGGTACCATCTGATCAAGAACGTCTGCACTCGACCAAGGCGAGGTATGAATCCTACTAATAATTGGTTAATAATGTGTTTAGTTTAGTGTAATGGTGCTTATTATTAATTTCTAGAGAATTGTGATCAGTGAATTCCCCTAAGTTTCGATTTTTAGTCATGATCAGGCAATTTGTTGGCCTGCGTTTATAATTTATTTCCTCTGTAATTTGCCAAGCTTCCAAGTGAGTATTGGTTACATTTTTTAGAGCAAAACCCCTTCAATCATTGCACCAAAGTTTTTTTTTTGGTCGTAATCAGGCGATTTTCATCAATTTTTCAAAACCGCGTCTTGTTTTTGTGGTGCTTTTTACAGACTGGAGTCTAAGATGTATTTCCTGTTTAACGTGCGAGTTGAAAAAGTCAATTTTGAATACATTTTTCACTGCAAACTCCCTTCCATAAATAGGCAAAGTTTCGATTTTCAGTCATCAAGGAATTTTTTAACATTTCTCAAAGGTGCACTTGGTTGACGATGTTGCTTTTGCATGCGGGAGTTTGGCATTTATTTGCTTAGAAATTTGCACGTGTTTTATATGGCAAAGTCAATTTCATAATGCGTTTCGATTTTCAGGCATCCTCAGACAAGTATGAAGAAATTAAAAAAAATGCATTTGATTTACGGAGGTTCATTTTTCTGGCCGAAATTTAACATTTATGTGTTCAGATTTAAGTCATCAGCAAATATTTTTTAACAACTTTTCAAACTTGAGAGCGGTTTTCGCGAATTTTAACATTTATTTGCTCAGGAAATGCCAAACTAAAAAATCACTTCTGTATGACTTTTATTAGGCGAACTCCGCTCTATAAGCAGAAAACATTTCGATTTTACCTCATGGCCAGGAAATTTTCGGGAATTTTTCAAAACCTTGCTTGTACTTTGCGCTTGGAAATACAGGCGGGAATTTAACAGTTATTTGTTCAGAAACCAGTGAAGCTGCGAATCCACTTTCGAGTGCGTTTTGCAGAGCAAAGACTGTTTTATTGGGTGCAAAAGTTTCGAATTTTAGTCATCAGGCTTGTTTCCACACCCCCAAAAAGCACCGTTAGCGAAACTTGAATCAGTCGTGAATAAAGTACACTAAAACACACGATATAATTCCCACTATTCCCTAGGGTGATGATGACTATAATGAGACCTTCCTGTGGTAATAAACTGTTGTTTTCCAGCTGACCCCAAGCAGCTAAAGTGCCCCAAATGCGATAAACAGTTCAAAGGGATAACTGCGATGGATTACCACATTAAGAACAAAGTGTGCCAGCAGAACAATCCACGCAAACGACGCACATTATCGGCAGGTAATAAGGGTATTTATGCTTACCACTTACCTGCTTACCACGTGGTAATTATGATGGGGGTTGCAGGTCCTCCCTACTCCTGTGAATGGTGCGGGACGTTATTCAACATGAAGCAGACATGCTATGTGCACATGATGAGGAAGGCCTGCATTCGATTTCCTGACAAATACGCACTGAAGAGCAGCTTCAAGAATCGCGAACCGTCATTGCTGGAGAATTTGGAGGTGACGATTACTGAACAGGACGAATCGCCTAAAGAGGAGGAAACGAGCAACTCGGCTCTGGGTGGCCCAGAGGAGGAAGATGATGGTGAGGACGCAGTGGAGGAGTACGAGAGCAAGGCCAGGTTTTTGGGGGGGCTGGCGCTCAATGAGAAGAAAGCCCTTTAGGGCGTTTGAAGCAATATTCCATTTGGATAGTTGAGAGCGTCCAATCAAAATCCTGTTTAACGTGCTCAGGCAGCTGGTGGGATCTTCTTTTTTCGAATTTTAACCAAGTTAATGTTCTAAGTATTTATAAGGATGTTACGTGTATCGGCAAGTGCACAGGTTTTTAAATTTAGCTAATTAAGTCACATCAGGGGTAGCAAGTTTAGATAGAGCGTTTATGGTATTTGTTGAATTTACTTATATAAGTAGTATTCGTTAATGTACTGTGTTTCGTCGCCCTAACTTCCAAGTGCGTTTCCAAAAAAATGTTTTTTGAATTATGCAATACTGCCCACCATAAATTAGTGGTGCAAATCGCTTTCCACTTAGGAAAACTGGGGTGGCGATGTTTTATTAAATTTTATTGAATTTTATTCATATACAGAACTGACTAAAATATCCAAAAATGTCCAAAATAGATTTAGTTATTTTAACTGTAGAGCGGGTGAGGTTTGACGCATTGGAACAATTTGAGTTGTGTCATCTGCACATTCGATCAGAACTGCTTGCGAGTCGGTCCTGTCCTGCACTCAGAGTTGTCTAATTTTATTATTTGATTTCTTTATATTAAATAACTAAAATGCGCTTAAAACCTGCCAACTTGATTGGATGGATAATGCGAATTTCCATCGACTGCAAGTCCTGAAAAGCCTGAAAAGTCCAATTGAGTCAATCTAAACCTAGAATGACAGCGAACGTCAGAAAGTTTTCAACGGAAAAACTGCGATTTTTTCAAAAAACATTTTGAAAAAATTACCAATTTTCTTCGAAAAAAATGCAAAAAACAGCAGTTGAGCACTTAAGTTAAGTGTGCACCTGTCATTCTACACATGATGACAAGGAACGTCAGAAAGTTTTAAAACCGTTTTTGCCTCAAAACGCGCGATTCCAGTCGGGAAACTGCACCAACCGGTTGGGGAAACGCCCCTTTTTGATAAATTTCCCACAAATCTGGAAAACTCCCGCAATTTTAGCCAACAGCAGACCACTAGAAGAGCAAGGCTTGTTTTTTCGACTTTGACTTGTCAATGCGCCACTCAACACCCGATATAGGAAAATTGTATTAATTTTAAACCATCTACTTAGTCTAGCGTCAATGTCCTATTTACTAACATTTAAGTGTACTTCAGTGCCTTATAAACTATGTAAGTGTCTGTACGTAAAAAATTTAAAATTGTATTAGATTCGCGTAAATTGACTCAAAATAGAAAATCATGAAAATTCCCTTGCAACCCTCGACCGAGACAGCGCACGTTCAAATTGTCAAGAATTACCAATGAAATATTTTTTTAGGTAAATCAAAACATGTCTTTGCATGTGAAAAATGCGGCAATCAGTATAGTGAAAAGGGGAATTTGAAGCGGCACATCATAACCTGCATTCGCGGCCTCAAGTTCATCTGCTCAAAGTGCCAAAAGGTGTTTAAAAGAAGCGACTATCTAACTGCCCACATGAGGAGGGCGCACACGACCAAATAAAGATTAAACACTACTGAAAGTGTGTGTTTCATTGCGACCTCTGGGGGCTTCAGCGCTCTGACTCAGGTTATTCTTGTTTTTAGAGACTCATTTCAATTGTCAAACCTGCGGCCGCAGTTATAGACAACAGTGCTCTCTGCGCAGGCACCTGAAGTGGGAATGTCAGAAGGAACCCACCTGGAAGTGTCAATATTGCGATTACCTGGCCTATCAGCGAGTGAACCTGCAGAACCATCTTTATAACAAACACGCGACTTTGTAGAATCAGCGCCAATAAACCTTTTGTCTCGGAATTCTTTACTTTTCCTGACCAGAGCCAGTTTTTAACATGGTTTTCCCGTTCCAGCCAGAGTCAAATGCAGTGGATGCGACAAATCCTACAAGGACATCCGCAGCCTGAAAACCCACCTGAGGCAGGACTGCAGGAAACAAATGAGCTTCAAGTGTCTGGCATGCGGCAAATTGTTCAAGAGAAAGTGGCAACTCACCAGGCATTTCGTGCACATTCATAAACAGGAAATTTGTTATTACACCTATCCGTATAATGACACTAGTCGCCGTTAAATGCCAAATTTTGAATTTGCCGCGTCGACGTTGCTTGGCAACAAGCCAGTCGATGGCAACAACCATTTTGTCAACGTAGATATTAGTTGACAACCTATGTCAAAACTGATGGTATTTTCGTGTTCTTTTTTACGCTTAATAACGATATTTGGATGCTTCGCAGTAATAATTCCTTAAGGAGTAAGTAGAAATCAAATTTCAAATTTTGGCCAAAAAGGGGCGTGTTCATAGGGGCTAGTAGTTGTGTATGCTTAAATGTTAGTGCTTACCTACAATGTTTAGGCAAAAAGAGTACTTTGGTTCAATAGAGAATATTTGCAGTGTATTAAAAGCGTTTAGTATAATAAACGGGAATTTTACGATAAAACTCCGTTATAAGCAAGGGCGGATCCAGGGAGGGGTCATGGGAGTTATGACCCCTCCCTTGTGCTGGGTTTATATCGACTAACGATATTTTTTCTAATTTCATTAGACAACAAAACACTGAATTTCTACTACATAACCCGCCCTTGACTTGAAAGCTGGATCCGCCCTTGACCTAAACTAGCTCTGCGGCTTAAATGGTTCTTGAGAAATGTCGAAAAAGACGGCGTAATTTTGAGACGATTTTGCTATCAAAAAAACGAGCAAACTAACTTCATCCTGGAAATTTGGTCTTTTTTGAAAATGAAATTTTTGAATTGAAAATGAGCTCCCGAGCTGAATTTCTTTCCGAGAAATAAGCAAAAACGTGACGAGAAACATGAATTTTTGACCTAATCTTGTACCTAAATGCGTGATACTCAAATTTTCTTTCTTGTGTGAAAACTACAGCCATTTCCTCACTTTGCGTGAATAGGGCTTTAAATTATCTTTTCGATGATACCAAAACGAGCTCTGTGGCTTAAATAGTTCTTGAGAAATGTCGAAAAAGACGGCGACTTTTGAGACGATTTTGCTATCAAAAAACCGAGCAAACTAACATCGTTCTGGAAATTTGGACTTTTTTGAGAAAACTGCAAACCGTTCATAAGGAAACCTTTATTACACCTACTTATCAATAGGCAATAAATCGGGGCATGCCGTTGGCCAATGGGACGCAATGGTTTTGAGTTTTGATTTTCTAAGGTGTTGGATCTTTTCGGCGCATAGTAAAGTTCTAAATCATGATACAATGAATACAAGGTAGGATCTTGCGTCGATTTGCGTGACGTCAGTGGAAATCACTGCCGGGCGTGCTTTTTTCCTGTCTGCTAAATGTGATTAAATATAGCTTATTTAGTCTTTGTCACATTTAATTATTTTTTTATAAATCTTCCTTATAATTACAAGATGCTTTGCAGCAGATTTTAGACTTGAAAATTAAAAGTAACGAAAATGTATTTATTTTGCAGACTACCACAGTTGCCAGTTGTGCAATAAAGTATCGCGTTAGCTGAAAATGTATCTGCAGAAATAGTACATTATGATTCAAGAGACGGAAGTTCAAACAATGACCCAATGTTACTTTCCTATTATTTACGACGGAATATGCGGTTTGTGGTGCCGCGGATGATATGTAACAAACATCGAGTTTTCGACCGATTAATATCCTACCTTGTATTCATTGTATCATGGTTCTAAATGGTACATCTTGGCTATTTTCATACAACCGGCAACGCCAAACAAGCGCCCGAGGTTTCCCTTTTTTATCGGGCTGGCACTACATAACCTCAATTCCGCTTAAATTTATTATTGATTTACCCCCCCGAAAAGAAATTCTATGGTTTTTGAGCTGAAATCGGCGTTAATTGTGGCCGCCTTCAACATCCACATTGTGAATTTGTCTTCTTTGACACCAGGTGAGAGCGTTTACAAAATGAAAACAAGGGGCACGGGTAAAACTCAGGTTTTTTGTTTTTTTTCAGCCCAGGGTGAGTTATGAGCGCCGAATTGAAGTCCAGACGAAAAGGGCGGCAGCCGGAACCCAGCAGCAGCCCCAAAAAGGCGGCAAAACAGGAGGAACCCTCGAAGACAGCAAGTGTGCCCTAGTAAGAAACTTTACACAGTGACTGAAATCTTTTCTTTTGCGGTGCTTTCCCAGGGCTATTACAAACAAGTTGAACACAAAAATTCTTTTGAATCAAGTACCTGTGTTTCTTTTTCAGTCGCTACGGTCCTTTGCCGCGCTTTAACGGCCAACGACTTTTCAGCAGGGGTGTTATCATTGTAGGAGTGGTGATCTACGTGTGGTATTTTTCCAAAGACGGCAAAGAAACCAGTCTTGGTGAGTGTTGAGACATTTTCCCAATAACATGGGCTTGATCGCATGTTTTCTATTCCAGCTAAGCAGGGCTCCGTGTACAATGGTCGGGGGGTTCACGTGGATTGCGATGAGGAATACTTGGAGGAAATCAAGCGATATTCTGGATGCGTCCCCAAGAGATGTGGACGTTATGTCAGTGACGTGATAGTAACGGATTATGAGGCTACAACTCTTTTGTGGCTGGCAAAGAGAGGAATGTCGTTTGGCGGGTCCAGCGGAGGGGCCACGATCATGGACTTGCATTCAGGGGCTTTGTCGTACAAGAAGAATTTCATAAACATGTACAAGAGCGTAAAGACGAATTTCATCACTCCCACTGATTTGAGGGTTTACAAAGACGTGCGGTGAGTGCCCCTGAGACTACGAGAAACCACTCAATTGCCGATTTTTTTCGCTTGGTAATCGCAGCCAGAAAATCCAGAGTGCTATCGCAGACTCTTTTGGCCTGGACGTTAACAAACTCTTCCTCACCCATCCGACGTTTTTCTCGCGACTGACCAGCGAAGCCCCCTCGCATGACCACGACGAATACTGGCACGTCCATGTGGATAAAGTACGAAAAAAGCCAAAACAGTCAGCCGCCAACTCACAGGACTATTTTGCAGCACACTTACGAGTCCTTCCATTACACCTCGCTGGTTTACTTGAACGATTTCCGCGTGAATTTCAAAGGCGGGCGCTTTGTGTATTTGGATAACATGAAAAACCCCCGCGCCAATGTTACGGTGGAGCCCCGCAAGGGGCGCGTCTCTATATTCACGTCAGGGGCCGAAAACCCCCATTTTGTGGAAAGAGTGAGTAGTACTCAAGCGAGTCAACAGCGAGGGTTCTAAAGTATGTTTTGCAGGTGACTGAAGGAGAAAGGTTTGCCATCACCATATCATTCACCTGTGATTCAAGCAAACAGATCAGGGACCCTAGTTTAAGCATCAAAGGTCAGTAAACAGTTTCGGCTAAATAATAAAGCACGTTTGTTCATATTTTTAATGTATTTTGCTACTGAATGTACAAATTCGGCAGTCTGAACCGCGTCAGGCGAAGCAACACACCCGACAAGCTTCAAAAGCCGCTCACAAACTAATCAGCAAAATGCCATTTAACAAACCAAAGCGTAGTATCCTTAAAACTAATATCAATCCGTCCAGCAGACTACAACAAGTCGTAACTTACTTAAAATCTAAAGTTAGTTCGGATTTTTATCACGAAAAACCAAGGGTTTTGATTTTTTTGATTTGTTACAAGTTTTATTAGAAAAATAAATTAAACCTATCGCTAGAAACTAGAACGCTACTTAGTAGGTATGTAGATATATACAAAAAAACAAACATAGAAGATTAACCGAAACATTGGAATGCATCGAAAATGTCATGGGTGAAAGTGTTCGTATCTTTGGAACAAACCGTGATATAATTGAGACGTTCTACTCACTTTACGCGGATAAAACGCGCTGGTGGAGAATATTCGCTAGCTGCTCGACCGTGTTTCCAGTGAGAATACTTCGGTGATTGCCGCTTAAAACCTCGATCACTGGCTTGGATTTGCACACCTGTTGAAAATCCCGGCAATAAGTCAAGAAGTATGTAAAAACCAAAATCATCCAAAACGTACCTTGGACAGGCCGTAGTCCTCGTCGTACTCCACAAAGTTGTCTTTGGCTTTCACCAAAGTAACTGAACCGCTGAACTTTTCCACCGGCTTGTACTGGTCGGCTGCCTTCAGTTTTAAGAAGAAACTGAGCGCTGCGGCGCTCACTTGTTCTCCAGAGAACGGTGTCGCTTTTTCCAGGATTTGCACCGTCCTGACAACTCGCTCGTTAAGAGATTTGAGACCAGCTAGTTCCTGGACCACCTGAAGAAAAAATTCAGCAATTTACCTACCGCTTTATTTCATTGCAAGATGCTGGATGGCAGTGTTTAGGCAAAAAATCATCAAACATACCTTCTGTTGATCCACTTCCTTGAACTGCAAGATGAAGAAGCAGAGAGCTTCGCTCTCCTCGGCTACTTCGCTTTGGCGGATCTTGGACCTGGCCTTGCCAGTGTGAGTGGCCACGTAGCTGGGCGAGCCATCAATGAAGAACAGCCGCACTTTCTCGCCCTCCTTCTCCAGCAGCACGCCCATTTCAAAGGCCACGACGGCGCCAAACGAATACCCCACCTGCAAACCAACAGCGTCAGTCCCACCCTCTTAAGGCTCCTCTGTGGGCACTTACCAAAGTGTAGGGCCCCTTAGTTTGCACAGTCCGGACCTCCTTGATGTAGAACCTGGCAAGGTCAGTGATGTTGTCCAGAGGCGCGTCCTTTACGCACTGCAAGCCGAACACTGGAGCGTCCACTTTCTGAGCAAAGGACTTCAGAGCGTCAATGACTCCCTCGATGGGATGCACCACGAACACTGGAGCCTTTTGGTTGTCGCTTGATTTGCTGGGCACTTGCACCAAGGTCTTGCTGGGCATCAGTTCGACAAGGCTTTCGAATGTTACGAGATTATCGTCGGCTTTTCCGGCTGCGGCTGGGGCGGAAGCCTCGCCGCTGCTCAGCCACTGGAGTTTTCCAAAGGTCAAGCTGCGAATCTCCTGTGCGCTCAGCACCAGATCATAGTTTCTCTCGAGGGTCTGCTTGATTTCAGCCCCCATCAGGGAATCCATGCCAAGGTCGGCCAACGTGGCAACTGAGGCAACAGTGCTGGTGTCTTTGATGCCCAAAATGTTGGCTACAGCGTCCGTGAGACTCACTTGATTGGAGCTGGAAGCTTTGCGCTTCTCTGCCAGCACCATACTGGCCACCACAGCGTGCGGCTGCTGCAGGAAAGTATCCATTGTCGCCAAACAAGAAGTCATTCTCTGAGGCAAAGTGCCTCCCACTTCCGTATCGTTCAAGCCGCCCAGGCTTTCAAGGATCAATCCCACATCCCCAATGGCTCCCCATTGGATCGCCACTCCAGGCAATCCAGCCTCTTGTCTGGCTTCAGCGATGCGCTCCATAGCAGAGTTGGCCAGGCCGTAGTTCGTCTGGCCGATGTTGCCGCGACCGCAAGACACAGATGAAAAGTTAACAAAGTAGTCCAGCTGTGGAGCGAGAGCTCTGGAGGCAGCGTCTAATTGCTTGGAGCCATCTACTTTGGGTTTGGCCACCGTCTTGAAGTCGGCCTCCGATTGGTTGCTGAGGATGGCGTCCCGTAGCACCACCGCCAAATTGAAAATACCGCCCACCGGGCCCAATTCGCTGGCTTCCTCCAACAGACGTCGGGCCCCCTTTGCTGAGGTGGCATCCGAAGTGGACACCCAAACGGTCACTCCGGATTCACGCCAACGCCTGATTAGCAGCGATTGGTAGCCGGTTTTGACACCGCTTCTGGAAGTGAGGACGAGTTTCTTCGCTCCCCGCTTCACCAGCCAGTCGGCCAGTTCCAAGCCGAAGCCTCCCAAGCCGCCCACCAGAACGTAGCTCTTTTCCGGGTTCATGTAGGTGCGGGGAATCGCGGGCACGGTCTTCAGCACGGTTTGCTGCGTTTTTCTCGACTCCTCGCTTCTGATTTTCAACAGTACTTTGCCGATGTGCCTGCCAGAGGCCATGAATCTGAAGGCCTGCTCCACCTGGTTTTCGTTGTAGACTGTGTTGGGGAGTGGGCGCACGGCCCCCGACTTGATCCCCTCCGTCACTAGTCGGCGAACTTCCATTTTCTCCGCGCTCTCTGAGTCAAAGAGGGCGTCCAACAGAATACCGTGGAAGGTGGTGTTTTTGAGGAACACACTCATTCCCAAGGGGCTGTTGTTGCTCAGGTCCACCTTGCCGATTTCGAGGAACCGCCCCCCAATGGCCAAGCATCGGACTGAGGCCTGCAGCTGATGTGCCGCCAAAGAGTTCAACACCAAGTCCACCCCTCGGCCTTTGGTCTGCGTGAGCACCAATTGCTCGAAGCTTGTATCACGCGAGTTGCCAATATTGTCATCAGTCAACTGCGGGAAGGTTTTCTTCAAAAAGTCCCGCTTGGCCTGGCTGGATACAGTGGTGAAGACCTGGCAGCCCATGTGAAGAGCAATGGCGATGGAAGCCTGACCAACACCTCCAGTTCCTGCATGCACCAGCACAGATTCGCCCGGTTGCATCCTGCCTCTGACTATCAGCGCGTAGTAGCTGGTGCCGTAGACGACTGGAATGGTGGCTGCTTCTTCCAGGCTCCATTTCTCGGGAACTTCCCACAGGAACGAGGGGTCGGCCAGGACAGTGGTGGCCAGCGATCTGGCCGCCACCATGCCCATCACTCGGCGCCCACTGGTGTCTCTTCCAGAGAACTCCAATCCCAAGATACAATCTTGGCCGGCGAGGTCCCCAGGCAGGGCATCTGGTGGAAGCTTGCCAGTAGCCAACATAATGTCGCGGAAGTTCAAGGGGGCGTAGTAGACGTGGCACAGTTCACTGTTGGGGTCATCTCCCTTGTAGTAGGACAAAGGTCCTTCGATCCACCTCAAACTGGCCAGGTCTCCTCTGGTCAGGGTGTTGATGTAGGCGTGTTCCACTTGGAGCGTGCCTGAGTCGGCGCTTTGCTCCAGGAGCAAATGCCGATAGCTTCCCCATGTGTTGTTCTTCAGCACGTTGTGCACCAGGTCCAGCTTCAGTTGCTTTTCGTAGGCCTTGAGGCTGAACTTGGGGGCGGCCGCGCCCTGGATGAAAACAGAGCGCACTTTGCTGCCTCCTACCGGTTCGCGCGTCAGGCAATTCACCAAGCCCACCAGTCCAGTGAGTTTCTCGCCATAGACGTAGACGTAAACTTTGGCGCCAGTGCTTTCCGCCTGATCCAGGGCCTCCTTCAGCGGCTCCACCCACTTGAAGTCCTCCTCGGTCACTTGCACTAGAATGGAGTCGGCGGCGACCTCAACCGGGGGCCTTAGGAGAATGTAGGTCTTTGTGGCGGTGGATTGGGTGCTGACCACTTCCAGGCCTAAGGCTGCCAGTTGTTTGGCATCTACCGGGCCTTTGGCTTCCTCCAGGAGCACGAACCCGCCCTCCTTGATGGAGGCCTTGGCGTTCTCAACCAGGACGGTTTGGTTGTAGACGAGTGCGTCGCTGATGATTACCAGATGGACGTTGGAGTCTATGGGAGCAGAGCGCACGTCTTTTACCACGTTCTTGCCGCCGAATGGTTCTAGAAGCGCCACGTCCACCGGGGCGTTGGAGACGACAGTGGGATCAATTGCTATCATGGGCTCGCTTTCCAGAATCTCCGTGATTTGCGCCAAGAGCGACGCTTCAATGGGCTTCTCGTTCAGATACTCTGTGATCTTCAGCTTGGAGGCGCCAGAGGAATTCTCCAACACCAATTGGCTGAGGACAGTCAGAGCGTTAGCTCGCGCCTTCTCCACGTCCTCGCCGTTGCTTTGGTTTTGCAGTGGGACAAACTGGTATTTTTCCAGCTTGGGAGCGGCTTGCGCCTGTTGTCTTCGCGGCGCTAGACTGGCCTTCATTCCTCTGAGTTCAATGCCGGCCGATTTGATCACGCCGATGTTGCGGTACATGTTCACCTCCACTCCCTGTCCTTCGGACAAGCTCTGGACAGCTCTCAGGTGCTCTTTGGGGTTGATGAAGGCGCGTTGCAAGCGGGTTGGCAGGTACAGCTCCCTGGTGCTCTGCCCCAGGATGGAGAATTGCAGCATGGTGTCAATGAAGCTGATCCAGTTGTTCTCCCACTTGAGCTTCCCACTGGTGCCTCTGTTGTCGCTTTCAGCGATACCGCGGAAAATGCCGCCATAGTCGTAGCCGCGCAAACGCAGCTCTTTGTAGATGTCGGGCAAGCTAAGCGGCAGCACGTCCTGTTCGGTTTGAGGCGACGGTTTGGGCAAGTCCAGGGCTTCCTTGAAAGGATCCTCTGGAACGGATATTTTTCCGGTAACGGCCACCGAGCCGCCTTCGCACAGCTCGAACTCCCCGGTGCCTTCAAAGATGTTGATCAGGAACTTAACGGAGCCTTCCTTAGGGAGAATGGTCGCCCTATGGAACTGAACGTCTTCCAGAAGAACGGGCAGCAGCTCGTAGTCTTCATTGCGCAACTTTGCGAAGCTTTTCCAGACCAAAGTCAAATAGCCAGTGGCTGGGAAGAGCACACGGCCATCAATGGTGTGTCCCGCCAGGAAAGCATCAGACTCTTTGCTCAGATCCACATCAATCACCAACTCTCCTGATCTGGAGCCTTTGCCTGCAAAGCTGGCCACTGACCACTCGGTGGAGTGGTCCCATTCAATCAGCGAGTTTATCATGGGCGTGCCCCTGCCCACAGGGAAACTCACTGGGTGGTACAAACTGCCCAGACTGGGCTGAGCACCAGCGGCGTAGATCTTCCCCAGCGCCGATGTCAAGAAAGCGATGTTGTCGGCAAAGCCCCGCTTTACTAGGGAAATGTTGGTGGCGGTCGCCCCTAAGGCTCGCTTCAGGATGGCCTGGAGTAGGCCAGTAGGGGCCACCTCAATCGCTATGGCGTCCTTTGGGACGTGAGCAAGCGCCTCCTGGAATAGCACCTGGGAGAGCAGGTTGTTCACGTGGTAGGCGGCGCTTGATTGTTGGGCCAGCGGCGTTCCCCAAGCCGCCTCCGGAATAGAAGAGGAAATCCACCTGGGAGTCCTGGGCTTGGGGTTGGGGATGATGGCATCCAGGGCCGTCCTCAGCTTCGGTCCGGCCTCCGCGATGTATTTACTGTGGAACGCCGTTCCTGAGCTGTTCACCGCCTTAGCAAAGACGTTCTCGGCCTGCAGCTGAGCCACGAACTTGTTGATTGCATCCGGGGGCCCGGAAATGGTCACCGAATCCTCACTATTGTGGCAAGCGGGGAAAATCTCCGGAGGACATCGGGCCTTGGTCTCCTCCCAGGTTAGTCCGATGGCAGCCATCGCTCCCACGGGGAGTTTGCTCTCCAGAATCGCGCGCCCCCTACTGTAGGCGGCCAGAATGGCCTGTTCAGCCGTCAAGGTGCCATCGGCGTAGGCGCAGCCCACTTCGCCTACCGAGTGTCCCACTATGAAGTCTGGCTCAATGTCCACGGCTTTCAGAACATCAGTAAGCGCCACCTGCATGGCGGCGATGGATACGAAGGAGTTCAGCACGTTGTCGAAGGTGTCGTTGGTTCCGTTCACAATGATGTCCTCCAAGTTGACGCCGTGCGGTTTGAGGGCTGCGGAGCAGCGGTCGATTGACTGCCGGAATACTGGCAGCTGCATCAGGTCTTTGGCCATTCCAGCCCATTGGGAGCCCATGCCCGAGAAGACAAAGCAAATGGGGCGCCGGTCGGTTCCCACTGAGTTCACCTCGACTATTGGTTCCTCCTTCAACACGGAGTACCCTCTGTAGAAGTGCCCGTTGATGTTCTTCGAGTGCACCTGGTCAACTAAGGCCAGGAACTCCTCATCGTCTTTATGCAGGTTCACTTTGCTCAGGAAATTCTTCACAGCTTCCTCAGTACGACCGGAAACCCCAACTACGCGAGGGATTGGGCCGGGCGGCCAGTTCTCCTTGGGCTTCGGGTTGGACCTGATCACGATGTGTGCGTTTGCACCTCCGAACCCAAAGGAGTTCATCGCCACAATTCCTCCGTTCCACGGCTCGTTCTGCGCGACCACCTGAAACCCCAGAGAAGAGCATGAGAAAATGTACGAGGAATATTCATGAGAATCACATTTAGGAATGTTTTCCGGGCTTTGAAGCCGTGGTCTATAGGAATTTCTTCCTGACGTTTCGTCCATAACTGCGATGGACATTATCAAAGGCGATGAGGCAGTGGGCGATGAGGCAGTGGGCGAAGTGATCTCCCGTGCTTTCCGACTAAGACTGAGACTGAGTCGGAAAGCACGGGAGA